GGAACGCTCACCGTCGCTTGCATGAATAGTAACACTAGCCACACTGTGAGTGGTGGTGTTGTAGAGATCGAGGCACTCATCGACAAGCTCAACGAGAACAAGATCTTTGCGCGGAAGCTTCAGGTAGAGATGGCATACCACTCGAAATTCCTGGACCCCATTTCGCAAGAGTACGTCGAGTGTATCGGAAGGATCCAGCCTCCGAGTTCCCGTGCCAATCATTCTTCCGACGTGCTGTTCTTCTCGTCGGCATACGGGACGCAGATACAACATTCCAAGTTGCAAGACGCGAACTATTGGACCAAAAATCTAACCTCCCCGGTGCGGTTCAATGATTCCGTGACGGCTATGCTTCGAGCTCTTAACAGTGTCAAGGGCGATGGTGGTTCATCTCAGCTCATTACAGACATTGTTGAAGTTGGTCCTCATTCCGCCTTGCGGGGTCCTCTCCGAAACATTGTGCAGGATATCAGGGTCAACAGCGATGTGAAGTACCACCACCTGCTCAAACGGGGGGAGCCTGACTTGAAGGTTCTCATGGGAGCAATTGGATCGTTATTCTGTCGGGGCATTCAAATTGACTTGCTCAAGGTCAACCACATCCTCGGTGCCCAGCCGTCAATGATGATTGACCTCCCTCGGTACCCCTTCAACCACACGCGAGAGTATTGGAACGAATGCCGACTAAGCAGAAACTTCCGTTTCCGGCCGTACCCACGACATGAGCTCCTCGGAGCGCCCGTCAACGATTGGGATGGAAAGTATGACGCCATCTGGCGCAACTGGATTCGTCTGTCTGAGAATCCATGGGTGGAACACCACACCATCTCGGGATCTGTACTGTATCCTGCTGCTGGTATGCTTGTTATGGCTATCGAGGGCTGCAGGCAACTTTCGGAGCGTTCGAACCCAGGAAAGCCGATCAAGGGCATCCGGTTCCGCGAAGTCTCTTTCCATTCGGCCTTGCAAGTCCCTGAGGGTGCTTTGGGCGTCGAGTCCCACCTATACCTTCGGCCCGTGAAGCAGGCTGCCTTGGAGACCAAGGCTTCAGCGTGGCGCGAGTTCCAGGTTTGCACAGCCCAGGACGACGACGAATGGCGCGAACATTGCTGCGGTCAAGTTCTCGTGGAGTACGATGAGCCGGCTACGGCTGTTGATGGCGGTCTCGAAGAGCGGGCTTTCAAAGCTCATTGCGAAGCCAGGATTGATCGGAGTCAGCGGAACTTCACGAGTCGCGTTTCGTCCGAAAAGATCTATAAATCTTGGGAGAATGTCGGCTTGGTCTTTGGCCCTACCTTTCAGACCGTTGAACACGCCATTGTCGACCATGAAGCCGGCGTCACCCTGGCCAGAGTCAAACCTACGACACCTCTCCTGAAGGCTCTGATGCCTTGCGGCTACTTGCAACCTCACTTGATTCACCCTACGACGTTGGATGGCGCACTTCAAGCATGCCTGGTGCCACTCGTTTCCAACCCCTCCAATAAGCAAAAGAACGCTATTGTCCTTTCTTTCATGGAAGAACTTTGGGTCTCTACTTCGGAGCACTCGAAAGATGGCTATCTTGTTATTGCGGACTCCGAAGCCCACGGCCGCAAAACGCATCACATGTCCTGCATCGCCGTTGATTCTGTTTCAAAAACGCCCATGATTCGAGTTTCGGGATGTGTCGTGACAGAGATTGACGGAAACAATGACGACTCAATCTCTAAGCAGGACCCTAGACATAGAGCATGGAGCATCGATTGGGCTCTTGATCCTGAGTTCTTCAATACAGAACAGACAGAGAGAGCTTTTTCGGGGCCCGACGGGTTCCAGACGTATCTCAGTGTCCTGGTCCACAAGAATCCTTCGATGAAGTTCCTCGACATTAGCAACCAAGCTTCTTCTTTCACGAAAGATGTTCTGTCCACGTTGTCTCGGCGTTGCGCGCAGTATGACTTTGCCGCAACTTCATCTTTATTTTTAGATGAATCAAAGAAGGCCATTTCGGAAGATTATGTGCAATATAAGACTTTTGATATCGCGGAGGACCCAGCGTCCCAGGGCTTCGATGTGGCGTCATATGATCTTTTATTTGCGCCGGTCTCTTTGATACCCAATACGCACATCGATGGGTTCCTGAACATGTGTCTCAGTCTCGTGAGACCTGGTGGTAAGTTCGTTTTGACGGCGGCGAGCAGTCCTATTGTGGCAAGGAGCTGGGGCGAGTATCTTGGCGAGACCGGGCTTGCTATCGACGCTGTACTTTGCGAACAGGGTTTATCGGTCTTGGTGGCGACCACCCCGGTAGCGAGCACCCCGTTGTCTCGTGGAACTGATGTTGAACCGCCATCTGGAAGCTACTATATTGTAGGAGATCTCTCTTCGCCAGTCCAGCGCGACGTGGCTGAGGAGCTGGCATCCTCTCTACAGTCAAAGGGCTTGTCGGTCAAGACTGCTACGATCCCACAATACGCTCAGCTCGCAGAATCAGTGTCCAAAGAAGATATTTTTCAGAGCACCTGTATCTTACTTGCGGAGCTGGAAACGGACCTACTTGCTTCAGCCAATAACGAGATCCTGAGGGCTGTGAAAGCCATGATTACTGGAAAGCGCCTGCTTTGGGTCAACAAAGATTTCTCTCCTGACACCGCTCTCGTCAACGGCTTTGCTGCGAGTATCCGATTGGAGAAACCCGAACTTCAGTTTGTCACTCTCACCTTCAATCCCCAAGAGAGCAACAGCACCATTTCAGACAGGATCGCCATAGTAGACGCACACCTTTCGAGCAGCAAGGGTTCTGTGGAAACCATGTACAGGATTGCCGATGGTCTGGTCACGATTCCACGCCTCGTCGAAGTCTCCTCAATCACGAGGCACATCAAGCAGGCTTCTGCTGACGATACATCTGAGGTCGCTTTTGGCGCGAATCTGAGTCGACCACTACGACTTCAGATCCAAACCGTTGGTCTTTTGAATTCTCTCCATTTCGCCAGCGACCACCAGCACACTACTCCCCTGGACGACCTCGAGGTTGAATTTCAGACTATGGCTACTGCCGTCAACTTCAAGGACTTGGCCGTCATGCTCGGAAAGATCCAAGAGACACCTGTGGGTCTCGAGGCCGCGGGAATTGTCACCCGAGTCGGCTCAGGAGTCACGCGCTTCAAGCCTGGCGATCGTGTGTTTGGCTTCACTTTCAATGGCGCATTTTCTACGTACGGCAGAGGTGCTGAAGGCACTCTGGCCAAGGTACCCGAAGACCAATCTTTTGCTCAAGCCGCGGTTATCCCTATCGTGTACACAACGGCATATGCCTGTCTCTACGACATTGGAGAACTAGAGAAGCGGATGAGACGTGTTCAGAAGCCTAGCTTGCTAATTCATGCGGCGGCTGGCGGTGTTGGTCAAGCTGCCATTCAGCTGGCTAAACGTGAGGGTATCGAGATCTTTGCAACAGTTGGCAGCATCGAGAAGCGAGACTTTCTCGAGGAGACATATCAGATACCTCGAGATCACATCTTCTCAAGCCGTGATCTGACCTTCAAGGATGGCATTCGGAGATTGACTGGAGGCCGGGGCGTCGACATTGTCATTAACAGTCTTTCCGGTGACACGCTTCGTGCCACCTGGGAGCTTGTTGCGCCGTTTGGGTGCTTTGCCGAGATTGGTCTGGCCGACATTGAGTCTAGATCTCGTATCTCCATGGGTTCCTTTGCCCGAGGCGTGAGGTTCGAGTCCCTTGAGTTGAATTACATGCGACAAACGGATCCGGAACGCCTAGGTGGGCTTTTTGCACGCGCCATGGAAAGTGTCATTGGCCGCGATCTCGAGCGTGTAACACCCATCACGAAATACCCCATTTCCAAAATTCAAGATGCCATGCGGTTCATGCAGTCTGGCAAGCATATTGGAAAGATTCTCATTGAGTACCACTCTGGCGATCTGGTTCAAGTAGTTGAGCCATGTAGACCCCGTGCCGAGTTCGTCTCGAATGCTACCTACATTGTCTCTGGCGGCTTTGGTGGTCTTGGCCTGGAAATTATCCGTTGGATGGTTAGCCAGGGGGCGCGCAATCTTATCATTACTTCACGAAAGGGACCCGTCGACGAAAATGCGAAGGATTTCATCAGAAATCTCCAAAGCAATGGCATCACGGTTGTTGCTCCTTGTTGTGATATTACCGATAAGAAGGGACTTGAGCAGGCCATCGCTTCGGCGCTATCTTATCTGCCGCCAGTGCGTGGGTGCATTCAGGCTTCTACGGTCCTCAGTGTAAGTCATGGTCCCTGTGGCAACATCTCTCATTGACACTACTAATACCTCTTGATAGGACAACGTTTTCGCTGAGATGACCCTCGAGGAGTGGAACGCAGCAGTCAACGTTAAGGTAGCGGGAAGTAGAAACCTGTGGGAAGTCCTCATTGCCACTAAAAATGACGATTCAACACTTGACTTCTTCGTCATGTTGTCGTCTCTCACCAGCGTCACCGGTAACAACGGTCAAGCAAATTATAGCGCGGGCAACTCGTACCAAGACGCCATGGCGCGCTTCTTGTCGTCTCAAGGCCACAATGTAGCCGCCCTTGACGCCCCAGTGTTGACCGATGCTGGCATGGTCGCTGCGAGACCGATGCTGAGGGAGTATCTTCTCTCAATCGGCTGGGCTAGCATGTCTGTGGAAGAGCTTGTCAATGCACTGGATTACCACTGTCGCCCCAGGTCTGAGACCGCGGAGCTCAAGGTAAAGGGTGCTCAAGTCATTCCCAGGCTCTGGTTACCCAAATACTCGGCGGATGAAGGCGCTGAGCAGCCCAAATGGCAGCATGAGCCGATGTATAACCACCTAGTTTTCCACGGCGCTCATAGTGGCGGTTCCTTGCCCGGCAAGCAAAGCTCTGCGAAGCGCTCAGTTGGCGACCTCATCGCTGCCGCCGAGTCCCTGGAAGATGCCGAGGAAGCCGTGCTCGATGCTTTGCTAGGACAACTGGCCAAGATTCTCAGCTACGAGCTAGCAGATCTGGATCCCTCCAAGCCCTTGAATGCGTATGGTGTAGATTCTTTAGTGGCTGTAGAACTTCGAGTATGGATGACTAAGGAGGTTGGCGCAGACATTTCGGTCTTTGAGATTACTGGCGGCCAGGGCATCAAACAGCTTGCGGGAAAGGCCGCAGCTACTTCGAGGTTTCGGCAAAATGCTACTGGAAAGTAACTCTGTTTGTCCTCATGAGCAGCAGTCTCTTCGACAAAAAGGGTTACGGTACTAGCTAGCCAGAACTGACTATATAGATAGACGGAAATGAACAAACATCAAACGCAAGGGGGATTTACGAAGACACGTTCTTCCGGCTGGAGTTTACGGCCATGACCCAAATTTCCAAGACGGCAAGGTAGGTTGATATATGGCACAGTGGAGGGTTGCAACGATAAGTTTTCTCTAGCTCGTGGAGTGCTAATGTCATCGTCACGACTTGGCTCCCAGCGACACACTGAAATTGGTGTCAGGTAAGAGTTGCCTCCACAGAGTCTGGAGGACTACTCGACAGAGTGGAAAGTCATTGCTGACCAATGCCATGGCGCTTCAGCCTTGGTTAGCCATGGTATTGGCACACAATAGAAGTGCCAAGGACCGTTTTGAATGTCTTCGAAAGCATCGAACAGCTTGCACAGCAAGAGGATCCCAGGATGTCAGTCTACCTATGATGGTCATACTGTACATGCGAGGGATTTCATATCGTATTGTGAACAAAAAAGTGGGCACTCCGTCAACACGTCTTGGTCCTCAAAACAATCACCTAGTCAGCCACGTCATTTCCAGGCTAGCCGAGCTTTTCACCATTCGCACAGAATGAAGTATGATCGTATATTGTCTCAGTTCGTTATGCATCCCCTCGCTCGACAGAGTGACGCTGGCTATTGAACGATTCTTCAAGTTCTTCACGGACTCATTTCAAAACTATTCGGCGGATCGCGTAGAGTGTTTCCCATCATGGTCGCTCGATCTTCGAGATACTGGCCCGCAGCGCTTGCAGACAATGGTTTGGCGAGTTACGAGACCCTCGTAGCTCGCTCCGAAACTGATTTCGGATCTTTTGATGAGCGTACAATTTCTTCTCTAAGTACGTATACGTTGTGTACTATCACGGGCATATTATCACCTTGACAATTCTCGCCAGTAGCTTGGAGGCAAGCACAAGGCCATATGTCTGTTTCCCCCATCGCGGAACAGACCCCAGTTCCTTGGACCTCTGACAAAGGCCAGAAGCCAGCTGATATGTCAAGGATAAGGGTAATATTGACCGCTGGCATGGTCGTTTGACTCCTCTCGCCGAAAAGCTGCGAAGCGTGGATCGCGAATGCCCGTTAAGGGCCTTACGGATCCAACGCATGATGGCCCACTGGTATCCGGAGGCAGGCAACAGGGCGCGTGCCCAGAAACAGAGGGGTCCCGCTGATGAAACATGAATATTCGACTCAATGAGAGAACTCGTGGTGGAACAAGGCAACTGGAACCTGAAATGGCCGTTCGAAAGTGAAAATGTCGTCCTTCTGAACTTGCACGTGTTTACATACAACACAGCTAGACAGGGCATTCACTTGGCAACACAAAGTTTGCTTCTGACGGACTTCATAAAGGATATACACTTGATACCAAATAATAAAGTATGTACTGGAATTACGCCTCATCTTCTTCGCCCAGTTGAATCTTATCCGACGACCGTCTTACGTTTGCGGAGTCTTCCCTTGACATCGCTTGGCCTGAACAAGCTGATGCTTTAGACTCGAGACGCAACAATGATGCTAGCTGCATCAGTGGCTTGACATTAATACCGACTTGAACCATTTACTGGTAAGAAGCGCGGTAGGTGTCCCAGTAGCTGTGCATGCGAGTCTCCTGGCCATCCGTGAAGTGGGTGAAGCAGTCACTATGTAGTAGTCAGTATGGAGGTTCATCATTGAGCGTATAGATAGAAGCTTACTCGTCAGAGTAGTCCATGTAGTTGGTGACAGGGTCGGTGCCGGCCAGGGTGGGGCAGGTGTCACGGCCAATCTCGCAGTTGTAGGCCTCCTCAGCCTCAAAGGGGGTATCGGAGACGTAGTCACCGTTACCGCCGCACTGGTATCCCTCGAAGGTGTGGTAGACTAATTGGCAAGTCAGCTTCATTCAATGTCTGACCGAGGTAGAGAAGCATACGTCCAAGCCAGTGGCCGACCTCGTGGGTGGCAGTGTGGCCAAGGTTGTACTGGGGCAGGCTGCCGCCGGGGACAGAAGTGGAGCGGATGACAACACCGTCGTAGTAGAAAGCAGAGGAACCAGTGGTGACAGTCTGGGGGAAGTAGGCGTATCCAAGGTATGGGGTACCGGGGAGGAAGTAGACGTTCAGATCGGCGTAGGTGCCCTTGCGGAGCGATCTCTTCATGGCGAGCTCGGCACTGTCGGAAGCCCATTGGCTGTTAATGGTCCAGTCGACACCGGCCTGGGCGAAGGAGACATCATGGGGAGCGTAAGCCTCGTTGAGGACATCCAACTGGGCGTTCAGGGTGGCCTGGGTGAGGTAACCACCGCTGACCGAGTTGGAGGTGGCAATGACGTGCCAGTAGACATTGACCGTGATGGGAGCAAGGCGAGTAGCATTACCCTCGACGCGAGCGTTGTCCTCCTTGAGCTGGAGACGCTGGGCAACCTCAATCTGCTCCTCGGTGGGGGATGGAGTACCGCAGGAACGCTGGGCAAGAGCAGTGGAAGCGGCCGCAAGGGCGGAGACGAAGAGAGTCTTGAACTGCATGATGAAGAAGAGACCGGACACCTGATTGGAGTTGGCTTGCCTGGGGTGGGATGAGGATGGAAGGACACCTTGATGGCTGATGTCTCGACAATTTATATAAGTTCGTTGCCGTCTACTGTCTGCTGTCGAGCTCACATGCCTCACAAAGGTTCATTTCATGAGCGCCTGGATATCTCGACTTCAACCTTCCTCAAATGGAAGAGACCGAAAGTCTAGCAACATCATGGCTAGGCTCGTCGTACGTAAACTGGGGACTGTTCAACGCTCTTTTGGCTGGTGGTCTTGAATGTGGCTCCATCACTGGGGAGTTGATTCATGCTCAGAAGATGGCCACCTGCTGAGTTTGTCCTGTTGCAGACCGTTGAGATTGACGACAGAAGCTAGCGGCCTTGCGTGATAAGCCGGCTGGGCGGCATATCTCGAGTTGCCAAGATGAAATGCGGATTTTGCCATCTAACAGGCAATGCCAAGACGGTGACTGTAGCCAAGAAAGGCACCAAGCCCTGAGTCCCGTTCGTATCTTGTGCAACGGTGTGATTGAACCTAGCAGATGCCGTTGATCGAGTTGCCTTTTACGCCAATCGTGAATAAACCATTGGCGGACAACGCGTAAAGCTGGGCTCAATTGCGGTCATTGCAGTTCCCACTGCCAGCTCTTGGCTCTCTTGGCAGCCTTGGCGGTTGACTACCATTGTCCCTTATTACGATGGGGATTGGCCAATTCAAGCTTATATTTATGAGTATCGGGCGTTGCCGACCAACGAGGATGTTACCTTCCTTAATTTGACGTCTGTTCCACCCCGGATGCGAGTAAATCCTTCGAAAAACCCCGCGCTGCTCCGCCCACATCCCGGGAGTTGAGCACCGCCCACGTCCCCACATCTCCGGGGCTATCTCGATCTGCCGACTGTTCCTCCCGCCAAGTCCCGCTGGATTCCGCCGGCTACTATGGTTGTCCGACCGCCGCCTTATCTCTCACGATCGATCACGCCCACATTGCGGGATGATCGAGCTAGGTAGGGCTCAACTCTTATCATCCATCAGGGTCAGGTGAATCGATTCTCTTTCTGCCAAACTTCCATCGTCCACGCATGTGCTTTTGTACCCAAGTCAACTAAGATATAGGACTTGCGTAGCAGGTTGCAAGATTGACCACGGTGAAAGGCTATTTGTGCAATGGGTGAGAACTGCCTACCTTAGTGCTGTTCAAACAAGACACTGCACCTCGCAGTCAAGCAAGTACTTCATCTGCCAGCTTTGAGAATGGGTCCTCGTAGGTAGAAAGATGCTCAGGTGCAGTTGCTCAAGTGACCAATTCATCGATGTTCCTAATTTCGAGGTTACAAGGCTGGTATTAGGAGTCTCAAGCTTCTGTGGCAAAACCAGTTATGCGCGCAATATACTAGTAAGGTAGTCATGCTCCGATGTCACGAACGAGCATCGCAATACCACTAGCACCTATACAAAGCCCCCAACCATTAAACAACTTCACGAGACTGTGTCGACCCCATCGATACCTTTGCAGAGATATGAACACTCGAAAATGTCCGTTTTCTGGCTAAGGTAGGTATTCATGGGGCAGCATTAAGCCTTCTCGTGCGGTATGGTCCATGATGACACCTCGATGATTGATATGTGGTGTGATTTTATTGACCCTTCCTGGCTCTCTTCAAAGCCATACTCGAACGTGAGTTCACTTGCCATCCATGTCAAAAAAATGTGCTGTTTTATCTAGCCTGCCTAGGTAATGTTTCTATAGAACTAGGTGATAATTGACGACCGCCATATGACAGCTTGTCCACATGGACAATAACTTGCACTTTATTGGTATGAGAGAAAAGACTCAATAATTGTATCGAAAGCTTGATTTCCGGTGGAAGCCTTGTAACTAGCCCTGTTATTACTCATACATCAGCAATAAGACTTGGGGTGATTCCTACCCACAAACCTAGCACTTGCCAATTAACAAGCATGTTTCTTTTTCAGATTGATTCTTTTCTTCTATTTTCGAGCGGCACTCATCCGTGTGGAAGCTCAGCATACCAAATTTAAATTACTTACGTTGGAAGCTCTTGTTACATTTCTTGTGAGAAGACTTCGACCATGTCTAGCACCTTTTAGGTACCTTATGTATGTGGGCCGTCATCAATGATTTCTGCTCATTGCACATGTTACTTACCTAACTCATGGCGAGCCTCGGATTTCTTATTCACAATTTTGTAGAAATGCGCGTAACTCAGAGCACCGTTCACTGGAATTCACCACATTAGTCAAATGAAAGCGCTTTCTGGCTTGTTGCAAATGGTATAAGCTTGCTCTACACGTCTCAACACTGCTCGGGTAGTTATTTTCCTTCCCCTACTCATGAAACACTCAGCAGGTTGATCATGTATTGCGTACTTAGTTTCCCCGGCATCATCGCTCTAAGGCTAGCCCAAAGTTTTCCGACATGCCAGTAATCTGTTTCTGGTTTGACTAATGCATCATCTGCATATAAGCGATCGAATGGCAAGAGGGCAAAGGGTTGGAGGTGGATTGCTTGGACATGTCCAGGATATGATTGGAGCGTTGGAAAACACCTTTGGCAATCCAACATGTTGCCCCTGCTTTCCGAAGTGCGGGGATTCAATATCTTTGGCTTGTGTCATGAGTATAACTTTGATTGCATTGTAAGTTTGGCCCAACTCAACGGATTTCATCAACCATCTTCTGGAAACGCGATGGGTGTCTTCGGCACTCTTCTTGGCAAAGCTGCCGCGCCAGCTCTCGCCTTCTTGCTTTGCTGGTGCGTCGTCCGGAGGGCTGCACTTTATGTCAAACTTCGACATCTTGGAGGTCCTTGGTGGAGTGGCCTCACACACTGGCCTCACAGCAAGGCTATCATTAGTTCCAATTGCCACGAGTGGTATGCCGATGTAAATGAAAAATATGGTAAGCACAACTACTTCCAGCTGACTAATTGACTGACGATCGTATAAACATTGATGACGCATATCACTTCCTGGAAGCTAACTTTCTCAAAGGCCCCATTGCCCGCATTGCTCCGGGAATTTTAGTGACCTCTTCTCCTGAAGTATGGGCCCATGTAAACAGACATCCTGGATACAAGCGCTCCGATTGGTATTATCACGCTTGTCGAATTGAGTACCAGCGTGACAACGTCTTCTCTCAAACGGACAATGAGAAACACGAAAAGAGAAGGAAGCAAATGGCGCCGGGGGTATGGTATCATCAGTAGTCACAGGTTTCTCGGAAACCAGCACAGCTAATCTGATCCTTTGGTAATCAGTACTCCGGCAGAGAGAATCTAGACCTCGAACCTACGATTGATCAACGTCTTGAGGAGCTTCTCGGGCTTATCAGATCCAAATATCTTTCGACTGACGGCAAAGTCACACCAATGGATTTGGCCAAAAAGATACAGTACTTTACTCTCGATGTTATCAGTTCTGTCGGGCTTGGGAAAGCGTTCGGCATGCTGCGGACTGATAGTGATGTGGATGACTACCTGAAGTCTACCGAGGAGGGCTTGTCTGCTATTAGTGTGGCTTGTGCTATCGGCATTAGCTGGATAGCTCAGTCACCTATCATTGGCAAATTCATAGCCCCTTCACCTACTGACAACAACGGTTTTGGTAAAATGATCGCAGCATGCTTCCGCTATGTTGACGAACGCACTGAAAAGCCAACGGACGAAAGGTCGGACATGCTTGCATCATTTATACGCCATGGACTAAATGGTGATGAGCTGAAAACTGAGGCACTGGAACAAATCATCGCCGGGTCGGATACAACCGCAGCTGCCATACGAGGGACACTCTTGCAAATCATGACGAATCCCAGGGTTTATGCAAAACTACAGCATGAGATTGACGAGGCAGTACACGCTGGAAATGCCCCAAAACTCGGCGAGGGAATTATAACTCTTGGGCAAGCGAAGAAACTACCTTACCTACAGGCAGTCATCCGAGAGTCTCTGAGGATCCGACCGCCGGTGCTCAATATCTTTTCTCGAGATGTTCCCCTTGGAGGTGATACTATTGAAGCGAAAGGAGAAACTTACCTTTTACCTGGTGGTGTTTGTGTGGGCTATTCTGGGTACGCCATGCATCGAAGCCAAGCAACATATGGCGTCGACTCTAAGGCATTCCGACCAGAGAGATGGTTTGAGACAGATCCGGACAAGCTCACCTCAATGATCCAAACCAATGACCTGATTTTTGGTCACGGTAGGTTCATGTGTCTTGGGAGGCCCGTGGCTCAGATGGAACTTTCCAAAGCTATCTTCGAGGTGCGTTGCAGATTCCGGAACACGCCACTTTTCCATCGGCTGTGAAGTGACAGTACTGACGTTTTCCAGTTGTTGCGAAATTTCGAACTAGCGTCGAATGATCCTGCGCGTCCATGGCGGGCAAAGAATTGCATGGGGCTATTCGTGATTTCGGATATGTGGGTTCAAGTGACGGAAAGGGCGTGACCACTGACGGTGGCTCTGGAGAAAATAAAGAAGTTTGGGTACCCGGTTACTGTCTGAACATTCCCTCGTTCTATCATGCTTCTCAAGGAGATTCTCAAGTATGCCTGTCATTACAGATATTTTCGATTTGGCCATGATGCAAACAATCTATTTGTCCTGCCGAAGGTTACTTGAATATGAACGCTTAGCTTATTTTTTGATGATTTTGCTACATCCTCGTTGCGACGTCCATCTTCCGATTCTGTCTGATTTTTAGGAATGAAATACAACACTTGTTAAATCCTTGGGCGGGCTAAAGGAAGACTCCTCTTCATGCCTTACAAATTACTTTAGACTACGTAATAAGGGAATGAGAACGCATTGTCACACGCTGCACAGCTCAGTTTACTCGGAACTGACGATTTCATGTGACGATGCATCTACTGCAAGGGAGAGCACTCAATGTGATGTATTAGAAACCGAATGAGAACTTCTTAAGGTTCTTAGCTGAAAGACTTTCATCGTGTGGTGGAACTACGCTCGAGACGTCGCTTGATATTACAATTTTCAAGAGTAACAGATTCGTCCCCGTGCAGTGGAAGTGGCCATAAGGTACTCGAGATTGTGAGACACCTTGGTATCCCGATTCAAGGGGGCAACGTTGTACGCAAAATGTTCGAGTTACCGAAGGTACGTGGTCTCTTCCTTCCGAGTTCAATGCCCGTTACAGGCCATGTAATGTAGTCTACCTAGTCTTGCTGGCAGTCCCTACGCTATTTGCTTTCTCACACCAGTGTGTATAAGTCAAACAGTGGGGTGAAAGAAAGAAAGACGCGCTCCAGAATTCAATAATGTTGCTGCTGACTCTAGAACTCAACGCGGCGGATAAGCTTGCCTGCAGGTGCTGCCGGCGCGGCGGGAGCCGCAGGAACTGGCTTTCCACCAGCGGGGGCTGGTGGAGGAGCAGCAGCAGGAGGTGGAGCCGGTTTTCCCTCAGCCGGAGTCTTTGGGGGGGCTGCAGCAGGTGGAGGGGCGGGTTTGCTTGCAGCAGGGGCCGCGGGGGCTGCGGCGGGCGGAGGGGCGGGCTTTCCAGCTGCCGGAGCTGCCGGAGCTGCAGCGGGTGGAACGGGTGCAGAGCTCGGCTTTCCCCCGGCAGGTGCATTCGGCTTCCCTCCAGCAGGCGGAGCGGCAGCTGGAGGAGCGGCGGGCGTGGAACCAGCGGGCTTAGAAGCTGCCGGCAGGGCCGGGGCCGCAGCTGCCGGTTTCGATGGAACGGGTGCTGCCGGAGCTGCGGCTGGCGGAGGAGCTGCAACGCCTGCTGCCGGAGCTGCAGCAGCTGGCTGAGCGCCTCCTTTTCCTTTCAATACTCCTGCTGCAGCTCCGAGTACGGCATTGAGAGGATTTGCCTGTTGTCCTGCGGGAGCGGCAGCGCCGGCTGCAGGGGCTCCTTTACCCTTGAGGACTCCAGCGGCGGTTCCCAAGACTTGCCCGATTGGGTCAGTGGCTTGAGACCCAGCCGGGGCAGCGGCGCCAGCCGGTTGACCGCCCTTTCCTTTCAGCAGGCCTGCCGCCGTTCCGAGCACGGCTCCAATAGGGTCGGCTGCGGGAGCCGCAGAGGCCGCGGGAGCAGCAGCAGCTTGCCGAGCCCCTAATACTGGAGCTTTTGCTTTCCCAGCAGTTTTCGCCTTTGCCGGTGCTGCAGCACCGCCAGTAGTCTTCCCTGTAGCTTTCTTACCCGTAAGCCCTCCCAACAAAGAGCCGATGGGGTCGGCGGCAGCGGCTTGCTGGCCAGCAGGCTGGGCAGCTCCCGCTCCCGCTCCCGCTGCGGCGCCAGCGGCTCCGGCAGCCTTACCTCCAGCGCAATTTCTAGAGCCAGGTAAGTGCTATGTCCTAATACAGATGTTGTGCATGCCTTGACGTCCCGTTTTGTTGTGGGACGTGGCTAGATTGTAATCCTAAAGTACTCACCCTGTGATACCGCCAGCCTGTGCCCTCACGCATTTGGCATTTTGTCCTCCCTTCATAAAGTCAGTCAACATACTGACACTGATTGGTTCCTTGGAAGTTTCTTACTGAGAGCAGACAGTCCAAGTCGTCGAAGCAGACTGCCCCTTGCTGTGCTGAGACATACGTGGCCAACAGAGCAGACGTTACAACAGCAAGCGCACGCATGGTGAACTAGTAATGGAGTTGTTCTCGATATGGGTTTGCAGAAAGGATGTGTATAGTCCCCTTTGAGGTCTGGAAGAGGCAGGTAGCTTTGTGTGACGGTTTGCGAACACGAAAAGGTCGCATTAGGGGTGCTTCCCGAATTTTATAGACGAAGAGCCATGGCTTCAGATCTTTTCCTGCAGGTCAGCTCATTCACCGGCTGAAGAGCAGAACTCAATTTTCTACCTGCTTCAAAGCCGAGGCAGTCTTCGGTGTCTACATGTGTTGTCCTCACTCTCAAATACTCGGAGCGTGCCTTCCAAACGTCTCAAGAATCGTTTGACCGGATAGTGTCCCGCATTCCCCTCAAATCAGTGGCCGTGCAAGGTATCAAAATTCCGACGACAGTCTTCGTGTGGGCGACGGGTAATCGCCTCGAATAGAAGGCCCCGTAGGGCCCGTCCCTGGCCCCAGACTGCAGTCAAGGTAAGTTGGCAAACTCTATAAGCTGGAGAATCGTTCATCTGAAGTGTTTTACAAATTTCTTCATCACTTGGGGCTCAAGCTATGAACACATGCGCCTCTTTGACTTCCCTCGTCGAACCTGAAGACGCGCCGCTGCATGGACGTCTCATCCCATCAACGAAATGTCAGTGCCTGTCACACCATTTGTGGCAATGTCAACATTTGTCAATCTCAGCCCCCCCCTGTTGCTTGGCCTCGTGTTTCTTTTGCATACCATCAAATACCCCATGGCCACTAGGTCCCCGTGCCTTAATCAGTCACGCTGAGTAGTATATTCTATTGGCGAACTTTGGGACTACTTCTGATTCGAATTGTGCTCGGATATCCAATTTCCCGTCCAGCCAACTAAGTAGACAACTTATGCAAGACTAAATACAGTATCCCCGATTGCTTTCATGTATCATGACATTCGATTAGTTTCCTAATGATAAAACCAGTACTTAATTTTAGACCTTTCTATGAAGGTCACTTTATAAGCCCAGTACATAGATCCAACTTCCAATGTAATTTGCAAGTACATGTAGACTTACACAGATGCAAGGTGCACACCACCACAGTGATTGTAGGAAATTTCGCGCGCCGGTCGCGTTCTAGGAAACCAAAAGGAACTCACTGACCGATACAATATTTCTCGTGTGCCTTATCTATTGCACCATTGGTTTGGCGGCCACAGCGGCTCTCTGTCTGTGTGTCAAATGCAAGCTGAGGTGGCTAGTGACTAAAATAGTCGTCCAAGTCCCTGGTCGGTCTTTGGCACTGCCACTGACATAATCCCACGAGGCTACATCGTGTTTCCTGGCTACAATATATTGCCGGCCAGGCCAGGTTTACTACGTGCATGTTCCTCGCCCAGTTCATTGCTGGATGTGAGTTGACATCGTGCCAGGCTGTTGGTATCTCGCATGTGGCTTTGCCTCGGAGCCGGGACAATAATAATGCTGGAAAAAAACATCGTTTCATCGGTTTTTCCTCATAGAAACAACATAGCAATTTCCCCTTTGATATGTACATGTAGTATTTGGGTGTATATAAAACTTATTGCCGATGCTGCAGGTCTCGATGTCCTTACAACCTAACTACGCTGAGCTTGAGACAAACAGACTTAATGATTCACGTAACACATATTGATGTGCCTATATTGAGGTCATAGGACTCCTAGATTTCACTAGCTGGTAAGTAACCAAGACGAGTTGACGCCGCAGATAGTCAGTGGAACTATGGATCACCATAATTCATCGAACGGATAGGTACGTGATGCCCACCTTGGGGTACCTACCTACCCAGATGACAATGTGTTTTGTACTTCTCAATCCTGCTCTCAACATGTCATATGTCTGCTCGCCACCGTAACACATCATTTTCTTCAGCTAGGTTTTCAGTCGTGTACAGCCTTCTGGATTCAATGATATTTTAATGCCTTCTCTAGATCTGGTAATGGTCTGTCTCGCATGATGGTCCTCACCTGACTAGGTACCTTACTATGACTCAATACACCGGCGAAATTGGCCGGGACTCACCTCTCGCCGCCCAATTTGGCCGTTCCGCCCATGTTCAGCGGGCGGCAAAATTGGCCAAATTACACGCTCTTTGCCCGGAATGAGAACGCGATTCTCTTCGGGCCATTTTCAGTCAATCAGTGGCTCTCTGATTTGTAGCTCTTTGATTCAAACCATTACTGGAGATTATATAAAGTGAGATGTTTCCTTGCCGGCTTACATCTCGAAATCTGGAGCAAGTCATATTCAGCACACGCGTTTTCTTGTCACTTTCACAAAACATCAATCATACCACTTTACTTCACTTGTCATTCTCCAACATGTTTGTCGCTCTCGTCACTGGAGGTAATGCCGGGATTGGTGAGGCTGTCGTTCAACAGCTCGCTAGAATCCCGGGCTTTCATGTCATCATCGGATCTCGCAATCTTGAGCATGGCTCCAGGCTCGCCGAATCGCTCAAAACCGGGGACTGCTCAGTTTCTTCTATTCAGCTCGACATTACCTCTGACGAATCGATCTTCAAAGCCATCGAGTCCATTCAGAAGACTCACGGGAAACTTGACGTCCTCATCAACAATGCAGGCATTCTGATCGATACATACCCCGATTCGTTCAGCTCCACTCGAGATCTTTTCAGAAAGACCTATGAAACCAACGTCTTCGGAACAGCCGTTCTAAGTGAAGCAGCTCTTCCCCTCTTACGCAAATCTGAGTACCCGCGCATCATCTTCGTGTCGTCCCAGATGGGCTCTCTGAAGTCGGCCTTGGACGAGAGTATGCCCTTCTACAACGTCGACTACAAAGCATACGATGGCAGCAAGGCAGCTGTCAACATCTTGGCTGCCAACTATGCCCGCATCCTCAAGGATGTTGGCGGGGCTTCAAATGCTGTTTGTCCCGGCTTGGTGAGAACGAAATTAACTGGATGGATGGATGCCGGTGCACCGACTTCTGTCGGCGCGGAAAGAATTGTGGAGTTGGCAATTGCAAGTCCGGGTGGACCGACTGGCACGTTCTCCAACAGGGACGGTCCGCTCGCGTGGTAGAATAGACATTCGGGCTCATCAATAGAAAGAGGGATTGCAAATGGCAGACTTGGACCTGTTCTAGCCTTCTCGATTTCAATTTGCTTGAGAGACCGACCGGACCACGTCCTAGAATACACGGGAGTCTAGCAGTACAATCCATGATACTCATCTTACATACTGGTCCCTTAATTCACATCATCGCCGTAACTAAATTCAGGAGTAACCCGATGTTATCGACTCCTGAGTTCCATCTATCAAGCGTTTCTGCATGAACTGCATCGTTGGCATGATGATGACTTTCCAGCAGCTCCCCAAAATAAACCAGAGCCTTGCCCCGCCTAGGAAGACTTCTCAACGCTTTTGTTTCTTCGTCCCATGAGTCTGGCGTCGTGGCACCCCATTGTACTTTGTGACATGGTAGTAGCAATTCTCTCCATGTGTCAAGAACGCTGCAAGATATGCCTACCTTAACGGTGGCTACCTGCGCTACTAAGAACCACACGCAAGCAATTCTGACGCGTCTTGTTGTCAGCTCGTTAAACGTTGATTCAAATCAAAATCGAAATCTACTGACCTTATTCGAGACTCGTCTAAGATCCAATCTTCCCATGAATGCGAATTCTTAGAGTCTACACTACATAGTGTATCCGTCATGGCCATGAAATGCTTCCAAAGCGCCTGTTCATAAATTGTCAGCCGCTTAGAATTTCCTCAAGGACTAATGATCTTCGGTTGCAGAACGTACCTCATAAGCCAACAGCATGTGGGTATTGTAGTTACGGTCTTCTAGAGTGCTGCCCCCGCCGGCGACGACACGCATGATAATATATATCAATTCTGCTTGTAGTGAGGCGAAAATGTCTCGTCTGCTGTATCTAACCATCTGTTCAGTGAAGTCAGCATTTTCAGCCCATCTGGCAGGGTGTAGTGCACTGTTCAAACCTCGATGAGGTTTCTGTCCTGCTCCCTCTGAATTGATTGCCATAAGAACGGACTAGTGTCCGGGTTTCGAGATACGAACAAAATCGCAATGCCCATACAGTTTGCCAATGCCTCGGGAAGATGGCTTTTGTCCTGGTATTGGTGTATGAAGGGAGGGAATGTTGACCTTCGCAGCATCATTTCGGGATATGATCGCAACGCCTGTTTGATCATATTTGCACTACCATTCGCCGCCGACTTTGTTTCCTTGATGAATTGAAGTGGAAAGACGATCCAAGATGTGTTTGATATCACGCGCCTGCCAAAATTGATTGTATGTGGCGGTATCTGCCGGTACGGTTCTGGTGATGGAGACAAATCGGTGTCACCGACTATTAGGTCCTCGGTTATGTGACCAAGTCCAGGTTCCGTCAGAGGGAAATTGCCAAAAGTGACTTCATCCGGCAGCTCAAATATTTGCGAGAGTGGCTCCCATCGTACTCGATCATCAAAAGCCGAAGCCTCTTGCGTGAAAGTAGATTCAGGATCAGCTGGATCCAAGCCTGGGAGACTCGGCGCCCAAACTCGTGAGCTCAGGGCTCCTGTGCTGTCTATGGACCCATGACTTTTGTTCTCTGCGTAGATGCAGTCTAGTCCTTTCTCTGTGCAACGCGTACAGCGAGCTTGTAAGCTACACTTATGTTTGGCTGCACTGCATTCTCGACAAGGCTTCGGTCGGTTTCGGGGCCGATCCTTTGTTCGCCGACAGTAAGACACATGGCGCTTCAATGCAGTCTCTATGCCAGGGATTTTGAGTTAATTTTCGAGTTGGAATGGGAGGCAGATGCAGTAGGTGAGGACAGACCTTGGGTGAAGGGCTTGCTGCATATCACACAGAAGAAAACGCCAGCTGGTGGGCTATGCGTCGGAAAGATCGAGTCAAGAAATTCGGAGCCGCTCATTTTGGGTCCGAAACACTTGATGAGGACCGTTCTCGCTTGGAAACTTGCAGGCAAGTGTTGTTCCAGTTAAATACGAGAATCAGACAGTATCGTCCTTGACGGACATACTCCAATAAATTGAACGAGTTCTTTTGTCAGCAACTAGCTTAGAGACTGACCCAACAAAGATCCCGCGGAGATAAGCTCGAATTCCGGATCTAGAAGTCCGAGCAGATGTCTCATCAATTCTTCAATCCGTAATACCCAATTTGCAAGTAGTCCTCGTCGCAGCGTCAAAATCATTTTTGGCGGTGAGAACAAAGATGAGTGGATTAGAGTGCACCACGGTGAATCGTGGTAATATCACGCCCACATCAGCGCTAGAAGCTTCCGTCCCCGCAGTATCCGTACACCGTACCAACGCCGTAAAACGAATACTTAGGCAGGGTGCGGCTTGAATTTGACACAAGCTAGGAGACCTCGACTAACAGCATGAGGTGATAGGTCTTAGTAAGGACATCATTGTCTAAAAGCGCGACGAACAAGCGCAAAGGGTACAAGTGTCCATCCATCGCTTAGAGGGGCGAGCTATGTATGGGGTCCAAGTAAAGCGATAAGCGAGACAGCCGACGATAGTCTAGAAAAATTGCTAAATAACTCATGTGTTCTCATCTGTCAAACGGATTGGTTCAAGGCGGGATCACTGGCCTTGGCCAAGGAGTGGTTTGAGTTCAACAGTGCACTAAAGCCCGGAGGTGACAGTTGCCACCTACTGTCGTGTCGCTTCCTGAGCAGCCAGATTGACAGGAGAGCGGCGGGAAGGCGATCTGCCATGACCGAGACCACGGGCGGGAGGGAGTACTGTTCTGAAGCTTGGAGCGCACGAGGGTCAAGGTGCATGGCAGCCCAATGGAGGTGAGAGAAGAGCCCGAGAGTGGTGTGGCAGGATCGGCGGCTGTAGTTGATGGTGTTGATGAGAGTGCGGATTGACAGGGGCGAGTAGAACCCAATGGGAAGAGCCGCAGATGAGGGCATATTGACCTTGGACGATGATAGGTGATTGTTGGACAAATGAATAGGTACGGAGTATAGTCGCACGAATTCTGTGAAATGGCGTTGTCCGAGTGGGAGTAAGATGAGGATCGCGTCGGAAGCGGCAATCCGAAAAGACGACGTCCTTTTGCTGTTTGTGGCCAAACGTACAGATTCACCAAGGCATCAAAGTGAGCTCACTCATGGTGAGGGGACTTGGCCGATCTGGAGCCCTGCAATCACCCGCCCGTCCACACCCTCATACACAAGGCAAATAGTATGGAGTGCTCGGTCAGAAACTCACATGAACATGATCATGCCAATCCACCATGACGACGGACAGCGGCTAATGGCTCTCGGCTAAGCTGTCGGTGCTGGACACACGACGTCAGGAACGTTGTGTCGGTGCTGGGTAGCAATACAGGAACATCAAATGGGGAGACTGGGGCCATTTGAAAGTGAAGCTGTACAACCTCATCGTGCGTGCGTCATGCAGCGGCAAGCTGAAGCAGCAGCATCGCGGCAAGGAGAGACATCGAAAAGCAGGAGAAAAGTGGCTCAGGAACAAGGAGAGGAACAGTAAAGCGTTGTAATCGCATGACTGGGAAGAGGCAGCATCGGAGGCTAGGGTTCATCGGGGATTAATAATGAGCCATGCGATTTTGAGTGCGGGCAGCGGCCCTCCCAGTTCACTTCAGGTTTGTACAGTCCTTGACCGGTTGTTGGCTGCGATGCGGTGAGGAGGGCTGGAAAGAAGGAAGGGAGCTGGAAAGGCGGAGAGGAAGGGACCACTTCCAGGCACGTTATCCGCCCCTGTGCCCTACCTTAAGGTAGGGGATGAAGGATCGGAAAGGCGGAACGAAGCCGGAGACAAGATGGGCAGGGACAAGGGCTGTGGTTGAGGTGAATATGATAGTGACTGAGCCTGAGTGAGAGGCGCGAGGTGAGCTCAGCTCACTGATAACTGGTGAGAGACGAGACTAGGAGAGGTGGGCCTGGCCGAGCTGGCAGTTTTTTCTCCCCGCTCCCCCTCCCAAGCGTTCTTGGTGTGAGAGGTTGAAAAAATATTATCGCTACCTATTCGTAGACAGAGCGAGGATCAGACTGGGAGGCTTGGGAGCGTTAAGTGACTAAGGTGGCCCCTCATCCGACCGGCCCCGTCTAGTCTCAGGCCCTCAGCTCCCAAGCACCAAGGTCACGAATCATCCGTTCCGTTTGGCCAGTTCCATCCCCATTCCATTCGTCTTGTCCCCTTTGGAGTGGCCAGCTGCAAGTCGCAACCTGCAACGAGGCCCAAATGCACAAAAAGGCGCTCAGAGCTTCATCCGGGGCCAATCGCCGGGATGTCGCCTCACCCTGAGCGGCCTAGGCTGGCCTTGTCGCCCCTATGAAGACAGGGGAGGGTGTGGTTTTTGTCGGTTTTCAGGGAGTGAGACGAAAGAAAGAAGACGTGGACTTGTCACCGTGACTGACTGCGACTACGAATGCGACCGTGATGAGAAGCTGGCCTATCCAGACATCGGCGCCAAAGGGGCAGATTTGCGCTCACATCACTGGGCTTTAACTCATTGATTCGGCTTGGGCGTTTGGCGTCCTCCTCACTGGTTCACTTGCAATGTTTTCACAAAGATTGGAAGCCAGTCACAACGTGTAATTGTGAGCCGATGCTGTCCGTCGTTGTATTTCATGTCGAAAAGCTCCTCTCATCCCGCATCATCCCCCGTTTCTCGATTTCTCTTTCGACCTCCCTCCCCGCTCTTTTCCTCTCATATCAGCCAACATATCGTGGCCTCGCAATCCATATCACTACGCATCGCAAGGGAGAGAGAGAGAGAGAGAGAGAGGCCGGGATATCCGCACAAACACATACCAAACGCTCGCCTGCATCTCACACCGTTATATCGGAATCTCCCTTATCGGTGACAGAAAACGACAGAACATATTCATCCACGGCCCTTCTACTCCGTGCAGATATCTGGCAAGAAAGAAACCTACACATTCCCCAGCCTCTGTATTCCCACATCGCTCTCGTCCCGGCTGCCGGCCGTTGTTCGTCGTCCACTTTAACATCAACGGCTAAACCTCCCACGGACCGCGATCTTCTCAGTGCCACTGCCACGAGTGCCACAGCATCTCTGGGGGGTCTTGAGTCTTGACCCGTTTCTGTGACTTTGTGGGGGCCGATTTGCAAACCCATCCTCGGTGTCCTCCACCCCTTGTCACCCAAGTCGGTACTCGCTTCCGTTTGGAACTGTGACGGTGGAGTATTGTTAGGGGCCTCCTTTCCTTCACCGCATCGTCAACAGCGAGGAACCCTGCCCCGAAAAGCGCCCAGAAGTGCCCCGAGTGCCCTTCAAGTGGCTCCCCGCGACAACGAACAAGACGGGATCATTTTGGCGGTGGACTGGGCTCCCTCTGAGACCAGCCTCCCCCTCCTCTGAGAGTCCTGACGGAACCTTCTTGGCCAAGCCAAGCCAAGCCCGTCTCGTAGTACCCTGGGGCTTGTCGTCACTTAAAAGAAGGGAAAGCTTCAAAATCGACTAGTACCGCCCGCACCAACACCACCATACTAGGTCACCGCCTGTGTGTGAGGTCTCTCACACACACACTTCCTCTAACTTGACGCACTCACATACCCTCTCACACATACACATCACTTGCTCGGTGAAGACGCCGAGCAGGTGAACTGAGATATATCATCATGGCCCTTACGCAGACGGTCACTATCATCAACAATTCGGGCAAGATTATAAGTACCGTAAGTCTCTTTCTCTGGCTCACACCCGTTGCATTTACCCCCACCGCCCCTCATCAGCCTCCATGCCCACTCGATCCAGCCCTTGAATTCGGTCGTCAGAACTGCGCGCAAGAACATTCGACATGCAAACAATGCAGACGCACTACAACTCTCGGCCGAGCGATGAAGCCCAATAGCTGACGTATCATCTTCGCTTCTGCAGGGAAAACACCTGGCCGGTATCTTCAAAGAAGCCAAGGCGTCCTATCAGGAGAAAAAGGCGGCCATCAAGGCCGACCGGGAGGTTCTTAAACGGGCCCAGACCTTTGATACTTCTCGCGATCTACCTACCGAAGCCTTCGATCGCCGCTACTCGCACGATGATGGCCGCTCTGTCGCCAGCTCCAGGAGGAGCCATCGATCGAGACGCTCTCAGTCGAGTCACCGCGATGTCGAGTACTATCCACGTTCGAGACCTGCTCTGACCGAGAACAACCTCAAGACACATTCCGAAGTCTCCAGCG